CCTCTAGTAATATATTTACTGAGAAAAATGGTGACGTGTTCAATACTTATTTTACCCGCTGTATTCTCAGTATAAGATGTTTTGCACTTTTCTTCAGTGTTTCCTGCATGGCAGCTCATTGTTTCAGCTTCAGTGCTGCTAAAAGTATGAAGTCACTATATGCCATGCGGTCGCTGTATCTACCAGAGCCATATGGCCCCAAATAATTAGCAGTCCAGTCTCCTTTCATGGATGTGACCAACAATAGAAGCTGTGAAACCTAATTGCTACCCAGAGGTTTTGTCTTTGGCCACTTTGCATATCTTTTGGGAAAAAAAACATGCTGGCAGTGCAAGAAAAATAATTTCACCTTGTAATGTGAAGGTCATCACTGAGAAGTCATTTAAAAGGTCACAAATCTCAAGTTCAGTTTTGTGCCGCTCTGTCTTTTTGCATGTGACGATGCAAAGCTTCCTATTTTTTTCTGTCAAACTTAAAGGAAATATTTGGAACAATTTTCCTTGATGGGATTATTTGACTTTGCCAGTTTTCACAGGTTTCATGATTTTATGACTTTATTTTATACACTTTTAATGTGTGTGAAAATGCTTCAARTTCAGTGTGATTACATCTCAGCAGCTGGTTGTTGGTCAGCATCTTGTTGTTGGTCAGCAGCAGCAGTTGGAACCTCTCAGAGCAGGAAGCAGTGTTGCATGACTTGTGTCAGATAGTGGGATTGATYACAGCAGCCAGGGATGCAGAGGTGGCGGACAGTTTAGTAACAAGCTCACATTCCTCCTGTGTGCCTGCAGCTCCACCTTTCCAGCACGGCAACTGGATGATGAATTTGGACTTTTCCAGGGCTGTGCTGAGGTTGCAGCTTCCAGCTGAAGTGCTCGTCGCTCACGGTGCACCCCTGGTGCTCACTCTGTGTCCAAACGAATATTCAGCAAGGCCACTCTGGAGGATTCACAGCCYTAAACTGTGGTCAGAGACCTTCTGACCAACAGGAAATATCTTTAGGATGAGCATTCATTCCAGTTAACTGGAAAGTTAATAGTGTGCTAAGTATTGCACTGTCAAACCATGAAGCGTCATTTAACAGGTAAAGGTTATGGCAGTCAAACACTCCTTTTTAATTATAAAACTGCAGACAACTTCTGGCTTTTGTCCTGGTTGTGGAACAGTGGACCAGATTGTTCTCAGTCTGTGGGTGTTCTCAGTCTGTGTTCCTCGAGGCATTCTGTGTGTGTGTGTGTGTGTGTGTGGGGGGGGGGGGGGGGTGTGCAGGAGAATGGAGTGCCTGGGTTGCTATTAAGAGCTATCAGTCCCTGTAGAACCAAAGCAGGAGCTGTGTCCACATTTTTGGCACAAAGCTTGTTGTCAGTGTGGGTTGGCTTCAACTCGCTTGTCTTGTATGTGGTGTTTATGGTCARGATCTCAGTGTGCAATCAGGGAGAGGAGGGTGTCTGATTTGAGAACTACGGGGTCTCATCTCTGCTGTATGTGGATGATGTGAACCTGTTCGAGCCAAGACCTTCAGCRYGCACTGGGCYGGTTCRCAGGTGAGTGTGAARCGGCTGAGATGAGAGTCAGTTCCTCTAARTCTGAGGTCATTATTCTCAACTTGTAAAAGGTGGAGGTCAGGCGGAGTTTGCCTCAAGTATCTGGATGTCTATTTTTTATTATTTTTTATTTTTTGAGTGATGGTAGGATGGATGGATGGATGGATTGGGGCCTTATCCTCAGTAATGAGGGTGTTGCTTTGGTCACTCGTGGTGAAGAGGGAGCTTAGTCGTTCTGAGGCAAAGCTCTCAATGTACAGATCTGTCTATGTGCCGACCCTCACCTGTGGTCATGAGRCGTAGATCCCCGATACAAGCAGCTGAAATGAGCTTTCTTCAAAGAGTGGCCGGGTTCAGCCTTAGAGATAGAATGAGGAGAGGAGCCCTGTCATCCTGGAGGAGCTCGGAGTAGAGCTGCTGCTCCTCCAYATTGAAMGGAATCAATTGAGGTGGCTCATCTGACTAGGATGCCTCACTTTAAAGAAGTTCCGGGCACGTCAAACTGATAGGAGGTCTTGTGGAAGACAAAACTCRTGGAAACAGCTTGGGGTCCAGAACGAACTGGAAAGTGTCTTTGTGGAGAGGGATGCCTGGGTTTCTCTTCTAGACCTGTTGCCTCTGCGCCCCAGCTTTGGAWAAGCGGTAGAAGATGGAGGTACTGCCAACAACTGCAACTTTTGGTGCAAGGGTATAAATGAAGTCCAAACCCTCCCATATAMAATGAACACACAGGTGGAAATAGGAGCACATAACAGCAAAACAAACTTCCCTGTTTCAGGGGCAAAGAAGATAACGTCTAAGCAGACTCATGCATATAGAAGTGCTCGGTCAAGGAAGTAAAAAAGTGGGGCATCAAGTGTCACAAACACTCGCYGCTTTGACATGTGAGTGGTGACATACCTCCATGACCTTAGATCCAGGTTAGCAGCTGCAACAGGACAATTTGTAAAAGTTGTCAAACGTTTTATAAGGATCAGAATTCTACAAATATACATTTTTTTAATAGCAAAACTAATGTTTACATCAAGATTCCCAGTCTAGATTTGAATGTTTCGGCTGTTCATTCGTTTTTTCATATGACACATGCAGATTTTCCAACACGACACATTCCCTCACCTGTCACCCGTTCTTTTATTCAACATCCGCCCCAGTTCCTCTCTCTTCTGTCATCTTGTCTGATGCCCCATTAACTATGCTGTCCTTGAGCTCCCCTGGCACTCTGTCTCCTTTAGGGTGATTTCACCAGCATTGTACTTTTCTCTAATCCCTCTTCCATCCAATTATCTGTTTTAATAGATTTTCTGCTGAGACTAAACTATGCAGGGTTAGACATACTACCGCATCATTTTTCCCCCCTCTCTGGTCATTTTCACTTGATGTAGCAGTGTACTGGCTGACAACTGCTCACTTTACTTGTGCCAAAAAAAAGCATCAGAGGTTTTCATGTGGGCCTAATGCAACATGACATTGTTCTTGAAGCCAGCCTTAACTGCTGCAACAACTCTCTGATGTGTGTGATTTGAAAAAAAAGGCATCAGATGAAGTTCAACTAATGTTCTTATGTGGTCACTCTAACCCAGATTCACACTGTGCCAACAGTTCATGAGCACACGAACAGAAGAAAGGTCAGGAGTTTGTTTGGGTGAGACGGGGGTTTGTATCCACAGAGTTTAAAACAAAGATGTGTTGTTTACTTGTGAAAAAAATCTAATTTTTGCAACTTGTGTTATTTGTTGCTCATGTTTGAACAATTTATA